ACTGGACTTGACATTGAGTATTAAGGCAATGCAAATCAGTTTTATTTTGTTTCTTTTGGCAAATATGCACTTTTATGCATATTTGCCAAAGTCACTTTTGTGCATATTTGCCATATTTGTCAAGTTGTCACTTCTGGTAACTTTATTAAACAGCCAAAAAGACAATGAAGATGAAGTTTTGTCCTATTATAAAATGAAATATATTGGGGCCACAGGAAATTTCCCTGCATCTGTTGGGGGGTCGAGCAGTGCTTCCATTTTCAAAAAACATAATTTCCTTCAAAACCTTGGAAATTTCTTTATTTTTGGAAAAATTTCCTCGCAATAAAAGTTATTGAATTTTAACTAATTTAAACTGATTTTATAGTAATTTATCTCGACTAACAGGGTAGTTCTTGTTCTAGAAGGAACATAGACGTTACAGGGGTTGAATTATCAAGAGAGAGAGACAAAGAGTTTACGTAGATTAACACGAAGGAGAATAAGCAGGGGGGTCTGGGGGTCCTCCCCCAGAAAATGTTCAGATTTTACATCTCGCAGGACAGGATTTTCAGCATATTTTGCAGCACATTTCCTTGGAAATTGCCGTATTCTTAGGACTTTTAGAAATAAGGCTCGGCAGAAAATCCGAGACTTGAAAACTTTATTTAACAATTTAACTCATATTTTATATATAGAAATCTAACTTAGAAGGGTCAATAGTTTGATAAGAGTCAAATATTCAATAATATAAATAATATGTCAACTACACAACTAGTTTAGTATAAATAGTAGTTACCAGAACAATGGCAATTTGTTCACCAAACTTTACAGTTAACACTGTCATTTGTCAACAATATAAAACAATAAAGCAAACGAATATTTGAAAAATATTCATTATTAGGACAGTTTACTTAATAATTCTTTTCTTAATTCCTTTGTTTCTTCGTCAGTGGCGTATGACTTCATCTTGGCTGCTAGTTCCAACATTCCTTTATGAACTCTTAAGCTGGCAGCAGTTACGTGCTCATTCTTCATTCTCATCTTCGCCTGAAGTAAGGAAACCAATGACGTCGATTTCAAAGAATTTCTCTGATCCGTTTTAACCAGCTTAAGTTGGCTAAAAATTCTTTCAACAGATACATTCGAAAATGGTAGTGAAGCCAGAATACTAACAAATGCCATCAACAGTGGATATTTTGCTTCGCCTGTTGGGGTCGTTGTGTCCCGTATGTTTAACCAGTATTCATCCCAGTGAAGTTCAGGCTTTGGCTCAAGTGCATGTTGTCTCCACTCCATATCAAGCTTGTTGAGGTCGATGGTATCTTTCAAGTATGGTAATTTCTGACAAATGCTTCTCAATGAACGAGGCTTGAGTTCAGCGGATCTTGAGTGGATCATCTAAGTCAAATCGACTTTGGATTTGTAGAATGCTCTCGATGAGAAAATTCTTACAGGTCGTTAGGAAGTTATCAACATCAGCTTTCCCTGCCACGCTAGCAATTTCGTGGATAGTAGCCGTCGCTCCAAGGCCAACGTAGGTCTCGCTTAATGGTACGTGTTGGTTGACGTCAGTTGGGTTTAGCTTGTTTGGCGACGTTGACTTTACGATGTCGATTTTCATAAAGTCACAGGCAATTGACTTGATAAGGCTTTCTATTTCTGGTTTTAGCATGTGGAGGAGAGGACGCTCGCTCTGAAACAATCTGTTAAATGCATTAAGACGCTCGAGTTGATAGCTTAAGAACTCCAGATACGCCTGGGTAAAACGATTCTGTAATGATGCCAAAATGCGATCGTTTGAGTGTGATGGGTCTTCGTTGGCTGTCAAGGTGAAATAGCGGGTCAACGCTTCGAACTGTTCAAGTAGTCGGTTTACGCACTCTTCGCAGACTAGCACTTCTCAATGTCAAAAAACGTAGCAATGATGGCCAGTTGCTTTTTGACACTTTTGTCCGTTGCTTCATCGATGATTACACTAAACTTTCGTGATCGCAACAATGCCACCCTTTCCTAGAGGTAATCAAAACCGAGCACTTGGCGAACGATGTTCGTGGCCTTCTGCTTTCCAAGTTTTAAATAACTTAACGCAGCATCATTTGGAAAAAGAGATCGAAGTAGTTCGACTATGTCTTCCGATATTGACAATGGCAAGTTTTGCTGGGTAATAAACGCACATAATTTTATTTCCATCGAAGTCGTCGCATCAGAGTTTGTTGTTTGACGCATTAGTTGGGCGATGGAGCCAGTTGTCGCGGACATCTTTATCCTTGCTTGATGTTTTTGGCTCGCAGCATGTCGTTTAATAGCGGTCATAGAACAAGTGAGCCAATTCGTGCAAAGTTTACAGAAGGGTTTCATTTCCCCGCTTGGTGCCGTTTTCTTACTAAGCCAGTTCTTGAACTCGGTGACTTGCAGCCAATTGTCCTTAAACACCCGTTTCCGTGGTGGACACTTACGTTTTCTCGGTTTTGCAGATGTTGCCGACGTGGACTGTTGTTCAACATGACTTCTATCAGTGCTGTCACTCTCACTGGTCTCACTTGCAGATCCCGAAAATGTTTCTAAATCATCACTATACATCTTTAAATAAGTTTATGATTAACTCTCATCTTGCAGTAAATTCAACAGAAACCTGCAGAAAAGTATGTTTTGCAGCTGCTGTAACGGGATATCAATTAAAAACAAATAAGTATTTGGAAAAACCGAGAAAAGTAAAGAAAAACTTTGTTTTTATTTTTCGAAATTTCGAATTTGTGAATTTCCTTCAAATTTCCTTCGAACTTCCAAAATTTCCTCCAAATTTTCTCCAAATCCGAATTTCCTTATAATTTCCTCCAACTAGTTAAAATTTCCTCTAAAGAGGAAATTTCCTCCAAAATGGAAGCACTGGGTCGAGACGAAATTATTAATGAAAGCGTCCAAAACCACCAGCCCCCTCCTGATAAAAAATGAACGGTCACATACAACAAACTACTGGATGGAAATTGACAATTTAAAATTGACAATTAAATTGACAATCTGTTTATATGTTCCAACCTTAGACAAAGCATTTTCTTTAATGTGTTTACTTCGTCTTACTTGGCCAGTTAACTTTTAATTACTTTAAAATGCACCTTTTGAATAACCAGTTGTGTTTATATTTAATACTTTGTCTTTGTAAACAACTATACGCCATATGTACGCCAAGAACTGAGCTTGTACACCGAACTTGCCGGTTATGATCATCGTTCAGCATTGTTCGCATTCAAAACAAATCTCTTCATCGAGAAATATATGCAATATATTTCTGGTGTATTGTTTTTCAGATTATATTTCAAGTCTTTCAAACATTTGTATGCCTCCAAGGAATTCTTGAGGAAATCTCTGAATTTAAAATTTTTGTGTTATTTTAAATGCATGCTAATTATCAATTAACCAATGAAATATCTCATTTGTGGCATATATTATTCAATATATAGACGTTCTCACACACGTTCTCTCGCGCGCTTCGTCGAGAGTAAAGTCTGTTCACTGGCTAGTCACCAAATGAACAAAAATATAACCATAAAACAGTCTTCTCATTTACCCGTTTTCCTCGTGGATGTTCCAGAAAATA